GAAAATGGCCTATATAATATATTGAATGCCATATTAATAGTGGTATCAAATTCCCTTCATAAAATCCTAAAACTTAGACTGATATTTTCTTTTCGAGGACTTGATATTTATGTATAAAAAGGAGATTACAATTAAAAAGCTTAGTACATAATATATCACATCATATTTTAGTAATAAAAATTCTAATATAAAGTTTTCAGGTTTTTTGGTGTTTGAGGGGGCTCAGCGTATCATATTTTAAGGAGTAATATTTAGGCAACTTACATGACATCAACATTTAATCTATGTCTATGTGTGAGTAGTAAATGAACATTAGTGTGTGTTTCCGAGAATTACAGTAATGCCACGCGTCTGGTAACCGCCGCCGGATACAACTCTGGCAACCACACGTACATGTAAATATACATGGCGAAAACTGAAAATATTATTGTTTGCATAGGTAACTATACAAATTACTAAAAGTTCCTGAAATTCGATTGTAGTTTCTAGAAAACGGTTGAATTCATAAGCTTCTAGACTATGCTTCTTAGGTATCACTTTTTAATTTAAAATCATATGTGCCCAAAATAAATACAAATGTAAAGCAATTATTTCATGGGATTTCTGAAAAAAATATCTTAGTTTTAAGGTCTTTTATAATTGAAAATTGGAAATCGACTCCTTTAAAAGCCTAGATATTTAGTCAAAGAGTTCTTAGATGTATAAAAAAATTAAAATCGGACATTCCGAAGTATGTGTAATTTACCACCGCTTATTGGTCTAAAACGTATGAAAAATACATGTGCAGCGATCCCCTTAACGAAGTTATATTACAGCGTATGATATATAATATATAAGTATAAGCATTTTAACTTTACATTGTCCAAGTAGTTTCGTATGTAAGGATTAGGTTACTTTGTATAAAACATAATATAATGAAATCACTAACACGCGAATAATAAATTATTATTATCATTGAGTCGGTCGTGTACTGAAAAATTAACACCGTCGGGATAACTACGAGGAGGAGCTAAGATCTTGCAGCGTATTATTAACACTGAGTGTATAAATGTATAACAAACTGCTGCTGTGGGTATTATATATTTATACAGGTATAATATAATATATGCTAATAGTTTTGCACGAATTATTTAATTCATTAAACAAGGCTGCACTTCCGATCGATTCGATGAATATAAAATTTCGTTTTAACCGCGTGTAAATAGTGCGTGTGATCGTTAAGCATATTTACCGAACTCCTGCTAGCAGTCTTGGGATTAATCTGGTTCTCATTAGCAAACTGAAAAAAGGAAGCTAAATGGGGCTTGAAATAGCAGTACGACATTAAAGTCAAAGAGCATATAACTGCGGCTAGTCTTCCTTGAAATTGCCAGAGCCGTTTTCGCCCCTAATTCGGTCACGGTATTCTGATCTCTGTACGAATAATAATATATATAAAAAAAAATCAGACCATTATATGTCCTGCGTCATTATTCCACCATTATCTTGTTACAAGGGTGAAACGGAATGCTATTATTTAGCTTTATATAATATAGGAACATAATATATTGGCGAAATATTAGTAGGTTAGGTACAAGCCTCGTGGCCATATTATGCATGTCATATTATATATGTATATTGTATAATTTTCATTATGTTTAAATAATTAATCATCATAATTGTTAAAATATGAATTATAAATTATAATAGTTTGCAATTTAAATATCAATAAAACATACAATGATCATCATCGAGGAGAATGAAGATTTTGTATATTTATATATTGCAGAGAGATGTATACATTTTGGTCTAGACACTAGAGTCTAGTTGTATGTTGTGTGTGTAACTATCACGGTTATCTACTGAGTAGATGACCGTGGTAACTATTAAGAAGAAATTACACATAAATTTGTTGTCTTTAACCTTACAACTTACAAGTGTGTATAACGTAGCAGATTTACGCTCATGAGAACGCGTTTAGCTCCGTTAGTTTAAAAATTAGAGTGAATCGACCTATTATGAAATTTGATGGTAAGTACATTATCTGTGTTTGTATGTGAGTTTTTTTATGATAGTTCAATTTCTTAGTAAGTTACCTACTCGTATATAATATAGAGTAAATTAAAAATGCTAATAACTCACATACAAACACAGATAATGTTCTTAACACCAAGTTTCATAATAGGTCGATTCACTCTAATTTTTAAACTAACAGAGTTAAATACTTAAACATGATATCTGCTGAGCGTAAATTTGCTATGTTATGCACTTGTAAGACGGAGACAAAAAATATCTGTGTAGCGTCCTCTTAACTGACTTAACTACTATAGTTAAGGGGATTCCATACCGACCGTTTTTAAGGAGTTGAGTATAGGCAATCTGTATAGTACGTGCATGTGTGCGTGTAGTAAATGATCATTAGTGTGAGTGACTGACGGCGAGCTAGATAAGCGTTGCGCACTCGCACTCGCATGCACATGTCACATGCCAACAACAAATTTATTTCATGGCGAAATGTTGTAAATCATAGACTTAAACGGATTCCAACATTCCGACCTGAGTTTTACACCGATAACAATTTTGAAAACATGTAGGTCTATTTTACTCTAAGAAGTGGTAGTGTGGAATCCCTTTAATAAAGTATTATTATGGTATATTAGAAAGATACAAAATTGTGGCTTTCACTAATATTCTTAATTTTACATTATCATTATTTGAATTTGAAGAATTAAATGGTATTACTGCGAGTTAAAAAATTTATGATTTACAAACAGGTACCGCTTTAATCTATATATGTATTAAGTATACGTATACCTCATTCTAATATTATTATTTTTTATTCGGTATTAATATTGTAACCTACCTCTAACAATATATTTTGAGTAAAAACATTGTTGTTTGTTCGATACTTCAAATTATGTACAATAAAACAAAACTTAAATGTTCAAAATTTCAAATACCTGCCTATACATAAATACCTATTTGATGACTGATCAATATGTACCTAATGTTAATATTGATTTACCTTTACTGGTTTATAATATTTAAAAAAAAAAACCAATAGGTATGCAACATAAAAAATATTTTATTTTAGGATGTGATTTGATTTTTTTTTATTTGTCTTTCAATATGTCATAATAATAAGATTTTTTACCAGTAAAAATGCTTCGATTTCAACTTTATCAGGTGGATATTAGTTTTGGATAGAATATTATATCTATAGTTGGTACCTAGTTCAGTTTTGGGTCTTCGAGTAACAATTTTTTACGTACATTTTAATATAATCAGGGACAAAATATGTACAAAACTATGAAGAAAGTTACGCGATAAGACGGGTATGCGATGTACTCCTGCACTGTTTTCAATAAAATCGATTTTGTTAATCTGTCTAGATTCAAAAATTAATAACCTTTGATACTGGAAAGTTACACAAAATATTTATACAAGCATTTTTCAATAGGTACATGATAATATGATAAACTTTTTTTTGTTCATTTATTTTTAATTTTTTTAAATATATTTTTTCGATTGATGATAATACAATGATTATTAATTGTAAGTCAAACAACTAGAGAGTATATTACAAGAATGTTTTCCAGAAATTAAAAAAATAATAAAAATGCCTACTCATGCTTTTTTATAAGAGTTTGAGCATAGTATAGTTTGACCTATAGGTATAAAAGATAATTCTTTTATAGGTCTATATGGTTTGAAGTTATGAAATAAGATACTTTTGATGAAAAATTACAATTTTTCTTCAAATAATTTTAGTTATTATAGTTATGTTGTAATTTTATTACTTTTTTCTGGGGGGGGGGGGGGGGGGCAATGTCAAACTAAAACGTATATATTTATACTTAAAAACAAAATGAGAGTCATACAATGAAATAAAAACAAATGTGATTAAGCAACAGCATTTTTAGGGTTCCAACATAAAATCTAAGATGTTTATGTAAATTTTAAAAATTTGACTATTTAATATTTTAAATTCCTGAACATTGTCAAAATATGACATTGGCCCTTCTTGCACCAAGCAACCGAATTTATGTTGTTGATACTTGATTTAAAATTTTAAAATTTGTATCATATTGTAAAAATATCCTGAAGTACAAGGAAAACAATTATTATTGTAAATAAAAAGTATTTTTTAATAGAAATAAAATAGGTACTTTGAAAAATATTCTAAATAGTTATTCAGAATACTTTTGGCAAAAGTACTATATAAGTATTCTGAATACTACCCAAGATCAAAAATCGAAGTATATTTACCTACCTATCAGCGGTATTTAAAAATATCATAATTTATTTGAATAAACGCATTATTAAAAAGAAAATGGAAGGTAAGCATGCTTAGTGAATAATAAACAGTCTTGTATTATACAACAATAATAGTTGTATATAATTATAATTTTAATATATTTATCTAATTTATTATTAGTTAATATAATATTATAGGTTTGGCCGGTTTGGGTAGTATTATGTTCTATATTGATGTTTATATTTTAGTAACGTAATGGTATTGTATAAATTCTGTGTCACTTATTGTTTTAATAAAGATATTTTTATTATTAAATAGTTTACTAAAATTCCTAATACGCCCTTAAGGCTTCAGTTTTATTTAATACTTCAATCGGTATAAATAAATATATAATTAAATAATAATAATTATACAAATACATCAGAGAATCTTCGAAAACGGTTCGGTTGAAATTGTATTGGCGCGCATCTGTTATCACTATTGTTGTTACCACATCCATGGTTATTGTGATACCATCGGACTCCATCATTGCAAAACACATTTTTGTACGCGCTCGGATATGCTCCGACGCTAATGGCCCGCCTGTAGTCTGTTGTCTGTTTGTTATCTGCTCCTTATGCCGTAGACTGTAGTATTTCATGTTTATTGTTTAATAATTGATTCCAAACAAAGTTTGAGTAAGTTTTTCTTTAGTTGTGTTCATCATTAATTATATATTTTTATTACTCAACTATCTGATGCTTAGATATATTATTTTGTAGACATGGAAAGTAAAGTGTGTAAAGTTATTAACACTAAGAGAATCCACAGTGACGACGATGACGATAATATAAATTCAAAACATACAAAAAGACACACTAGTCAAGATCGTCAATCAACGAAAGATAAATCTGACAAAGGCGGTAGTCGTAATTATGAAGAGTTGAAAGTCGGTGATCCATACTATTCGGGTGGAACTGCTTCTGATAACCGTAAAAGTGGAGATCGGTATAAAGATGAATCTAGACATAGAAGACGTCACAGGAGTAGAGATCGTCAAGAAAAAGAAAACAGATCTAGAAATGCAGACGGCAAAAAAGAGGAACAAATTGGAGCTCCATACTATTCGGGTGGAATAGCAGGGATTGATGAACGGGAGAGCGGTGAAGAAACAAGCAGCGATGAAGATGATAAAATTGGACAACGGTACTATTCCACAGAAACGGCAGATACTCAAAGAAAGAATAGTGAAAACTATTGGAACAAATATGCAAAAAAAGATAAAAGGCCAAATGTATGTGTATATAACCAACGTAATAAAAATTGAGATAAATATGAATAATACTTTTTTTTTTCTCAGGGTGACGTAAGCGATGTACCATTACATCAGAAAAAAACCGTGGAACTACTTACATCTAAAACTGGAGGTGCCTATATCCCACCTGCTAAATTGAGAATGATGCAGGAAAGCATCACAGATAAGTCAAGGTATTTGTCACATTTAATTATGCTATTTCAAATAATTATAAGGAAAACACATTTGATGCTTGTTGGTATATAATATTTTGTAAGATAATTGTCTATGCGTTTGGTTTTAATAGGCAATGTTTTGTTTTGTTAACCTAACCCTATAAAATCTAGATGTTTTGTGCACCCAATCAATACATTAACATCATGGTTATCTACAAAAACGTGTAGATATCCGTGATTAACATTGTCTATTTGAGTTTAAACAAAGTCTCAAGTCTTTTAATCTATAAAAAACGAAAATACTAAATTGTATATGATAAATAACCATACAATGTGGATTGTATTTTCATAATAGTATTGACTAATGAGTAAGCGGTGATAGCTTATAACACATTAGACGAGTATAATTTCTCAACCAACATGTCAAATATAATGTGTGTGACGTAGGTATAGGATGTATGATAATTGATAACTACTGTGTGGAAAAGTATGAAATAAAAAGGTTGATAAACATTTAATTTCACATAATATTATGAAATTATAAATATTACTAGCACTGGCATTCAATATTTTAATAATTACATTTTGTGTAAAGATTTTCAAAAAAAAAACTAGTTCATAACATTTATCTAATTACCTATGATGTTAAATTCTGCATTTCATATAAATTATAATTTTAGTGCTGCATATCAAAGAATTGCCTGGGAGGCATTGAAGAAGTCAATACACGGTTTAACCAACAAGATAAATGTAGACAATATAGGAAAAGTTACTAGAGACTTACTACGAGAAAATATTGTTCGAGGAAGAGGCTTACTTTGCCGGTCCATAATGCAAGCTCAATTAGCTTCAACAACATATACCCACGTGTATGCTGCTTTAGTGGCCATCATAAACACTAAAGTAATTGCATTTATTAACAAATATTAAATCTTTATTTACATAATTGGTAAATAACAATTGCATTAAATTATTTTTAGTTTCCAAACATAGGAGAGTTATTGTTAACAAGGTGTATTGTACAATTTAAAAGGGCATATCGTAGAAGTGAAAAATCTCAATGTTTAGGATCAGTAACATTTATTGCTCATTTGATTAATCAGAGTGTTGTAAGTTTCAATCTTTTAATTTGTTGTGTTAAACAATAATTATGACTACTAATAATTTTTATTTTATATTTTAGGCACATGAAATATTAGCTTTAGAGTTACTAACTCTATTTGTGGAGACACCTACTGAAGATTCCATAGAAGTAGCTGTAGCATTTTTGAAAGAATGTGGGCAAAAAATGAGCCAAGTCTCTAAAAAAGGAATGAATGCCATTTTTGACATGCTTCGGAATATATTACATGATGGGCAACTTGATAAAAGGGTAAATAAAATAAACACATATCAATATTTTAATATCATATTTTATAACATAAATAATTGTTAAGAAAAATTATTTTTTATTATTATTAAACATAAAAATACATACCTAGTTTAAGCGTTTATTATTTATTTATTTGTTAACACACAAATTATAAACACTTTTAAAATAAACATGCATTTTATGTAAAAATGTAAAAACCAAGGATAAAACAATTGCATTTTAAATACTAAATGAATTGTAATTATGAATACTAGGCTAATTTAAAATATATCTTAATTTGAAATAAACTTACTATAGAATGATTGTAATTTTCACTGTCAAAGCATTCAAATCCAGGGATAAAAATGTATAATAAACTAATTTTTTTGTCTTTTAGGTTTATATTTTTGTTTATTTGAGGGCTTGACTGCACTTATTAGTTATTTATTTTAGATTGTGTTAAAATGTTTTAGGTTCAATACATGATCGAGGTCATGTTTCAAATCCGCAAAGATGGTTTCAAAGATCATCCAGCTGTAATTGAACAACTTGATTTAGTCCCAGAAGAGGATCAATTTACACACCTATTGACTTTAGACTCTGCTAAAGATACACAAGACATTCTCAGTAATTATACATTTATTCTGAAATAATACTTGAGTTAAACATTTTTGTTTTTTTAGATGTATATAAATTTGATACGGACTTTGAAAGTAATGAAGAACGTTATAAATCATTAAGAGCCGAAATATTAGGTTCGGACAATGAAGATGACAGTGCTTCAGAAAATGAGGGTGATGATGATGATGATGACGATGACGATGATGATGAAGAAGATAACGGTGAAGAGAAAGGTACAATTTTATTTAGTCTAAAATGAATTGTTTTACTTTTTTAGTAATATAAATTAATTATTTACAACTTAAGAAATTATAAATAGGTAATTAAGAAAAATTCATAATGTTAAAATTGTATTTTTTTGAATGAGTTCTTGAGTTATTTCATAAGATTTATAAGTACACAATTTAAACATTCAATAATCTATAATATATCTGTTTTATGAATTAAAATAAGCCATTATGATTTAGAATTAGAAATAATATTTTTTTAATTAGGTAAGTACTATACAATTCAAATTAAGATTTATTGGGTAATATATTATTACATTTAAATTACAGTTCCAGTTTATTTAAAATTATTATTATTATGTTATTAAATTGTATTACTAGTGGTTCATCAAAACGTGTGATTTAAACCTAACTCTTATATTTTCATTTTTATATAGAAGTTATCTATTCTAATAGTAATAACATGTTAAATATTCTAATTTAATATCTATGTATACAGTAAAAATAATCATGTACAATAGTTAGGCTGACTTGCGCAGTTAAACTTAAAAACAATTTGTTTATTTTTATTTTATTCAAATGCAAAATCTCAAGGATCTATGTGTTTTAAAATTAAAATTTATAGAGTTGTGCTTCACTTGATAACAAAAATGGTTGTAAGAAAATTGTATTAGCGTGAATGGAATGATTGATTTGATGTCCTATTTTGAAATTTTTCTAGTTTTTGCACAGTTTTTTCCTTACAGGAGAACTATGATGTTATAATTATAACAGAATATTACAATAATTTTAAAATTCTCATGACTTCTTAATAATTTAAATATAAAATAAAATCTAAATTATGGCCTAGATAATATTCTTACCCTTAAACTGTATGATAATTGGCCATTTCACTCTAATAATAAAGGGTTTTTTATATTTAAAATCTATGATTTGAGGTAAAATAAGCAAATTATATATTTATACAATATTATATACATCAATAAATTAACAATGACGTACGTCACAATTTAAATATGTTACTTAAGTATTTTGTTTCCTTATGACTTATTCTATTAATTTATTTTAATAGTAATATTATCATTAATCAATATTACAAATAAAAAATTTATATATTTAATTAAATATGTAGCTTATTAACATATTATAATATGTTAATTAACAAAAACTTAGAATAAAAAAATTAGTTGACTTAATCAAACAATTAAAGTAGATGTTGGTTTATAAAATTTATGTGGTTTATGTGGAAATAAAATAATTTATACTTTCTAATATTCTATAATCTTAACATTGACTTTTTTTTAGGTTTTTAACCTAAAAATATTAGTTATATACTTTGTATGTTTTTATGAGTAATAATAATTTTCTTAGTTGCATAAAAAAATATGATTTAATATTATTCATTAAAGTTCTGTATTTATTTTTTTAGAAGGAGAAGGTAAAGTTATCATTGATAATACAGAAACTAACATGATATCTTTAAGAAAAACGATTTACTTAACTATACACTCTTCATTGGATTATGAGGAATGTGCTCATAAACTGATGAAAATGCAGCTTAAGCCGGGCCAAGAGATTGAAATGTGTCACATGTTTCTTGATTGTTGTGGTGAACAAAGAACATACGAAAAGTTTTTTGGCCTTTTAGCACAAGTAAATATTCAACAAAATATAGTTAAACAACTTAATCTTTTATAAAGAATCTAGTGTGATTCATTGGAACATTCTTATACTTTCACTTTACTTAATTTATATTTTTTTAACTGTTTTTAGAGATTTTGTCAAATAAACAATGTGTTTATTGAGCCATTAGAAAAAATATTTATTGACAGTTATGCAACTGTTCACCGTTTAGAGACAAATAAATTACGAAATGTAGCACGATTTTTTGCGCATTTATTGTTCACCGACTCTATTTCATGGGCGGTTTTGTCGACAATACATCTTAATGAAGATGAAACCACTTCTTCTAGTAGAATTTATATTAAAATTCTTTTCCAAGAATTAGCAGAACACATGGGACTTAATAAATTGAATGCTCGAGTTCAGAATCCGTAAGTAAAATTGTTTTAATCTATTTCAATACTTATTTCATTTATTCAATTTAGGTAGGTTAATTTTTAATACATAAATAATTTGTTGATTGTTGATCGTTTCAGGGAATTAAAACTAGCTTTTGAAGGAATTTTCCCTAAAGACAACCCTAAAAATACTAGGTTTTCTATCAATTTTTTCACCTCTATTGGTTTGGGAGGTTTGACGTAAGTTTTTATTTATATTTTTTATAATGTTAATTGGCAAGTAAAATAATTTATTAATTATTTTATCATTTATTCGGTGTTCTAGTGATGAATTGAGAGACTTTTTAAAAGTCCAACCAAAACAAGTTCCTGCTATAGCTCAAATCATTGACCAGCTATCAGAATCATCAGATAGTGACAGTGACAGTAGTTCAAGTAGTAGCAGTAGTAGTAGCGACAGCAGTAGTAGTAGCAGCAGCAGTAGTGGTTCCAGCAATAGCAGTAGCAGCAGCAGCAGCAGTAGCAATAGTTCAAGCAACAAAAGTAAGTACTACAGATAACTAAGTAAAAGTTCTTTATTATCTGAATAAATATATAAATTTACATGACGTGATTATTTAAACTATGTATAAATATTGCTGTTCGATTGTCAAAATTATTAAATAATCCAAAATTTAAATTAATTGAAGGTTTTCATAAAGAAGTGCTAGAGTGCTCGATTTTTGAAATAGCTAATGACCTACTAAAACAATATGTCAAAATGATCTATTAAAACGATTGATTTACCGAATAAAAATTCAAAACAATATAGTATAATACAAGTAATAGTACATAGTAATACATATATATAATAATAATACATAGTAATACAATTAAGTATAGCTGTATAATATTTCCTGCCAGATTTATGATTTACTCATTTAAGAGGACGCTACCCATGCATTTGTTGTCTCCGTCTTACACATGTACGACAAATCAAAGTTTCATTCACAAGTTTCAGTAGTGTGCTGTTAGTTTTGATAAAATAGTGATTGATTTAACCTATTATCAATTTTTTAGATAATAGCATTAACTTTGCTTAAGCGTTTGCTTTTATTCAATATTTTAATTTTCAAGGAAGATATGAGAATTTTTAAAACTTCACATACCCGTCATATCTTGCTTGAAAATGAAAATTTTGAAAAATCGGCAACGCTTGAGCACAGATAATGTTCTTCTTTACACATTTAATAATAGGTCAATTCACTCTAATATCAAAACTAACAGCACACTATTGAAACAAGTGAACAAAAATTTGCTTTGTCATAGGTGTGTACAACATAGACCAGCGTTTCCCAAACTTTTGTTTGGGCTGGCCCGGTAATTTATATTTTTCATCTTCGTGACCCACCAAAATATTTTACGTTTATAATTGTGTAATAAAAGGCAAAATAAAACACATTTGAATATCTACATAGAATTTTTTAATAAAATTAAAGCGTTCATTTATATTTTGAAACTACAATGTAATAATTATAATACAGTTACTAATTATAATAGTTGACTACTATCAGTGAGAAGTATGATGCTGTTTATTTTTAACTAGGAACTCCAAGTTTGCTGGAAAGGACGTTAATTTTATTCTTAAGTCCGGTTCAACTTCCAACCGATTCCTGTATTTATTCTTCAGGAAGACGAGTGTTGAAAATCCTGCTTCACACTTATAGGTCGTGACAAAAGGCATTAGAAATTTTATCGCTTGTTCTGCTACAACTGGGTACTCTTTACGACAAGATAACCAAAAATCTATTAATGGCCGTTCCTTATATATGTCTTTGAGTGCCGTGTCACATGAGAGTTCAATTAATGATTCAACATTTAAGTCCGAAAAACTTGTTTCAATATTGATTGAAAATGGGTTTCTTATCCATTCTTTGTTACTGTTAATTGGAGGAAAATATTCTTTTAGATTAGTTTCCAGTCCTTGCAAATGTTCCTGAATAAGAGCTGATATATCGTGTGGCATGAAACTTATGTTATTCTCTTTTTGAAATGCTGTCAGCATTGTAAAAGCCTCGTAATTTCCTGTTTTTATGCGACGTGACCACAAATTAAGTTTTTTTGTTGCAGCTTCCACCTTCTCCTGCACTTTAAATATTGTCACATTTTCACCTTGAAGTGCCAAATTTAAATTATTCAAAAAATCAAACACATCACAAATGTAGGCTACCTTAACTAACCAATTAGCATCATGAAATCTGTCTTTAAATTCAAATATTGCATCTTTAGATGTTGGAGGATTTTGTTCTAAGAATACCGAAACTTCTTCCTTCAATTCGATTAGTCTTTTCAAGACATTCCCTCTCGATAGCCATCGCACCTCACAGTGTAAAAGAAGATGTTCATGATCACTCCCCATTTCTTTGCACAAAGCAGAAAATATTCTCGAGTTTAGTGGACGAGATTTAATAAAATTTATAAATTTTACACACTCTTGCATCGTTTCAGTTAAAGACAATGGCATTTTTTTAACTGCTAATGCCTCTCTGTGAATACTACAATGAACCCATACACATTCCGGCGCTACAGCTTTTACTCTTGGAAAAAGTCCAGTACGAATACCTGACATTGCACGTGCTCCATCGCTACTCAATCCCACACATTTATTCCATTCAATGCCATTCTCAATAATATATCTATTGATTAAATTAAATAATTCTTCTGCTGTTGTTCTTGTTGGCAGCGATTTACAAAACAATAACTCTTCGTGAGAAGTATTTCCAAGATCATATCTTACAAAACACATTAGATTAGCATTATCCGACACGTCTGTACTTTCATCAACTTGTAAAGAAAAATAATAACACGATTTGAGGTGGCCTACTATTGTTTCTTCGATGTTATTTGCCATATCCACAATTCTACGCTTCACCGTGTTATTCGACAACGCCAACAAATTTACTTGTTTTTCCTGTTTTTTTTCGCATATTCGAGATGAAATTATTTTCATTGCCGGAAGTATTAATTTTTCACCGATTGTGTGTGGATAACCCGTTTCAGCAATTAATTTTGATATTTCATAAGAAGCCAATACAAGGTTTTCAGTTTGAGGACTAAGTGAAAACATTGAAGTCATATTTTTTTTGGAACTTTTTAATTGTCTTCTCCTGTTAATGAAAAAATCTATAGGCTTTTCTTTGTATTCAGGATGCTTCAATTCTAAATGCCTCTTCAACTTCGAAGGCTTCATGGACTCGTTTGAAAGTTCTGCATTACATATTACACATAATGGTTTGTTATCATCGCTCTCGATAAAGCCAAATTGAATGTAATTTTCAAAATACTGTCGAGTCCAGGCCCCCTTTTTTTTTGTAAGAGAATTACTTTGCGCATCGGACGACCATTTATTAGAATCAATATTAGAACTTGTACTTACATCACTCGACTCTTGATTGGTGTTTCTTATGGAACCGGTACTTGGTTTTATTAACCACTTATCCATTATAAATAAACGCGAGAAAATAAGACGCGTATACGTATTACAATTTTAATAACTCGTCGTAGACGTGCGTCGTTTGACACCAAGGTTCAAACTGAAATAAATATTTAGCCATCGCTATAATATGCCTATATCGGTAATTCATTTGTAGATAACGGATAACGGATTAGTGTCGTAACATCCAACGACGCTTGTCATTCATTTAATACTATTATAATGTATTTATAGATACGGCGAATGTCATACTATTCGGGTTTTTTATGAAGCCTAGTTGATAATCTCAATAATTATTATTTATGTTGTAAATAATAGTTATTCGTATTAATGAATTTATTTTTACTTAAAAGTTTAAATTATCAAACGAAAATGATAAATAACAAATTTAATATGAGAATTTCATTAAATTTTGCGACCCGGTATTAAATTTTTTATGGCCCGGTAGTGGGTCGCGACCCGGTATTTGGGAAACGCTGACATAGACAATAAATGCATGGGAAGCATCTTCTTAAGATTTTTCAAATACAATGATTCATCGTTAGATTAATATTTAATATACTTTTAAAATACTAAAAAGTATACAGGGTTTTCTGTTGATTCTGATGATTAGAATGATGACGAATAACATTTTGTCACTGTCAGTGGCCAGTGTTGTCCTGAGCTATTTAATAACAACTACATTAATATCTATAGGCTGGCTGCAAGGGTGGCCACAGGAATTTGAATGAGAAGCATACTATTTTCAAACATTAGGATGTGTTAAAATGTATATTTTTTTATTATATATTTTTTTTCCATATAACTTCAGGTCTAGGAGTGTGCATGGCTACTAGATACTAGCACCCCTCAAAGCGGCTACTGCCTTATGACATAACTAAGGATCCTTAGTGACACATATTTTAAGATCTAAAGTGGTGCAAAAACTGAAAGTGTAATAGAATATAGATAGTTAGGTTAAAAGTTTTTGTGGAAAGGCACCAATTTTTTAGTCACATACCAATAATAAAATGCCCCTGTTATAGGAAATGTATTTTAAGACTAAAACTCACAGCACTAATTGTGTTAAAATAAAAATAAATCCTTATCTTTTTATTAAATTTCATAATAGTTAGTTATAGACTTATAGTTGGTAAGTTATTTTATAATGATTGCTAGTACTAATTAATTAAATTTTCTACAAATTGTGATATATTATATGTTATGTTTATAGTTTATACAATTCAACAAACAAGAGACAAAATTTAAAAAAAACTTCTTTTCTTTTTAGTACATATTAGATATAACTTTCTATACTATAGTTTTTCGATTAATTAATACATTTAACAATGTACAGTCATATTTTGATTAATCGGTAATACAATTAATCAGTGGCGACTTCTTTTTAAAGAAAAATCTATTAAACCAATTAGTATAAAACAGAATATACAGCGCATAATGCCATCTCTTGAGCATTATATGCGTTTTACTTTTATCATGACGTCTTCTTAATAGTTAACAACATTCAGAGATTATTTTTTTCTATTTTATTTTAATACTTGGTCAACATTCTTCAAATCTCCAAACTTCAATATTATTGCTTTGATAAACTATTTAGAACACTAGTAAATAATTTCAATTTCAACTGAATTGTTATACATGCTATAGCTAATAATATAACTATAAAACTTGATATTCATACACTATACAACATAATATAATATAATATTTTTATCAATTAATTTAAGTTTACCTTTTTTTTCAATTGAATATATCAGGGGTAACCACAACTAGGCTCGCAAGCTAAGTTATTTCTATAAATAAATAAATGAATAAAGTTTGTTCGTTTGTTATAAAATGGAAAATGTGTTCATTTTATAAACATCTCTTAAGTCTTAACAATGTGGCTAGGTTCAATTAGCTTCATACATTTGCGGCTCCCAAAATTAAGATTAGTGGCCACCCCTGGAAATATTTATTTTTATCAAACATTCAGGTAATACGTTATAAATGTAATATTTTATATTTTATAAAAGAAAAAAAGTTGTAAACACAAAAATAACAAGAATGAAATGCTGTTCGTTGGTAATCATATAACTTTACTAATTTATATCATAAAAATAATGATAATGGAGCTAAGTGAGAACCTTGTGGTAAAATACTTGATATATTATTAAAAGGATCAAGAATAAATGTATTAACCTCGCAATCGGCTTTTTGTTAGTGACTTAAAAAATAAACCATGATAAAAATGATTACAAATTTCAATATATAGTTTTAACTTATGAAAACTATTTTACATGTTTTATAATACCTAATGTATTTTAAAATTACTACTTATATATTATTCAACTTTTCACAAATATTTTTTCTTGTATTTTATAGGAAATAAAAAAAGAAAAGATCATGGCAAATCTAAACAAAATGTAGAAAGAAAGGAAAATGAAAAACCTAAAAAAAACGAGAAAAGAAATGAAATTGATAAACCTAGAAGACACGAAGAAAGAAAGGAGAATGATATGCCTAGACAAAAAGAAGACAGAAATGAAAATGATAATTGGAGAAGAAATGAAGATAAAAGAGATAATGATAAATCAAGAAAATATGAAGAAAGGAACGATAAAACAAGAAGATATGAAGAAAGAAAGGAAAATAATGATAAACCTAAAAGATATGAGGAAAGAAGAGATAATGATATGGCAAGACGAAATGAAGAAAGAAATCTTAATGACCGATCTAGAAGAAATGAAGATAGAACTGGAAATGATATATCAAGGAAAAATGAAGAAAGAAAGGAAAATTACAGACCTAGAAAAAATGACGAAAGAAAAGAAAATGATAGACCAAGAAGAAATGAAGAGAGAAAGGAAAATGATAGACATAGTAGATATGATATTGACAAATCTAAAAGAAATGAAAATGAAAAACCTCGTAGAAATGTAGAAAGGAGGGAAAATGATAGATCTACAAGGAGAAATGAGGAAGGGAAAGAAAATGATAGAAAACGCTAATTTGTATGGTTTAGTTTTATATTATTTTAACTTTTAATTATCTACATATATATTATTATATAAGTAAAGCATTCAATGTCAATAATATTTTTGTTACAACAAAAATAAATGATAAATTGATTTTATTATTGTACATATTATTATTTAATAATCATTGTATTCGGTAAATTATGTAATTTAGTGTTTGATATAAAAGAGATGATCAAATATAATATTTCTATTTATGATAAATATTTAAATTACTGAATTGGATAAAAGTCATTAAGTTATAATAGATAAAAAATATATACCCTAATTATTTACATAATTTACACAAATACATAATTATTTAATTTCACAACGTAAGCAAACTCGAACCCTCACAAACAGCAGTGCTTGTAGTTTGTGTTGCTAGTTCAATTCGCTAACTACCTACGAACAACCATATTATTTTGTCATAGCAGTTCAACATACAAAAATAACTTTTGAATAAAATAATTATTACTAGTAAGTAGTAGGTAATATAAGATTACTTTAGAATAATTATTTGTATGCTTTAATTTATCATTGATTTCAAATTTAACCCTATCGTAATGGTGATCTACTCAATGATTAGGTACGCTTGACAAGTACATCCAACAATAATTTTAGATCCTGAGCTAAACGATGAATGTATTGATTTTACAATGATGTTTTTGTTTTGTTTTTTTTTTTTGTGTTCATCATCTGGGGCAGTAAAAATGATTTGATTTTCAACTTCAGTATCTTGTCCAACAAAAAGCGAATCTAGTTGGTACTTTTGGGTTCACAAGTAAAATTAAAGAAAATCAAGAATTTTTACGCAAAAGCAGTAATGGGTTATTACTTATTACACATTTAAAAATGATAAGAAGTCTTATTTGTATAACTTCTAAGGACTTGTAGGCTATTATTATAGTATTGATATTAGATTAACAAACTAATTTGTAATTAATTTATCTTTTAATAACAGGATTTTTATGCAAATTCATACCTATTCTTACGCACAACGAGTGTGTAAAAATATCATAATATAGGTCGCTGGACGCTGGTACTTTAAATGTTAACTTTAAATGGTTAACCATTAATATTTTTAAATTGCAACAAAATAACTAAAATTGTTATTCTTTGATTAAATATCTAATTTCATCAAAATTTGAACTTAAAATGAAATGAATCTATAAAAAAAACTGTACTAATTTTTAAAATTTTTAATACATATTGTATAGATTATATATTATAGGCGTACTTAAGGGGAACGCAGCAGACGTATTTTTCATGCGTTTTAGACCAATAAGCGGTAGTAAATTACACATACTTCGGAATGTCCGATTTTAATTTTTTATACATGTATGAACTCTTTGACAAAATATCTATGTTATTTAGGAAGTCGATTTTCAATTTTCAATTTTAAAGAACCTTAAAATAACGATTTTTTTTTTCAAAAATCTCATGAAATAATTGCATTACATTTGTATTTATTTTGGGCACATCGAATTTTAAATCAAAAAAGTGATTCCTAAAGAGCATAGTCTAGAAGTTTATAAATTCAACCATATTTTCAAAATTACAATCGGACTTCAGGAAGTATGTTTAATTTACTACCGCTTTTAGTAGTTTTTATAGCATTGCAAACATGAATATATTTCATTTTTCGTAAAGTATTGACATAGTACTCCACGATAGTTTATTTCGGCGGCGCGGCGGCTTGCGGCTGCCGACGGGCCGTGATAGATTCTCGGAAAGTCAGAATCAATTAGCCGATAAGGATTATTGGATAGGTATAGAACATTACTAATGGGCAACAATAATAGGGTAATATACGATTGCGAACGGACCTTTTCCGGTAACACGATTGCGAACGTTTTTACCTGCCTTTAATCATGCGGTGTTGTCAGATTTGGTGCCAATAACAAATTTTTAAATAATAATTTTAAAAATAATCATATAGTAATATAAGGATTTTCTGCTATCACGCCGGGCGATAAGATAGATAGGTACGATGTAGAATATCTATAATATTATATCTTTATTAATTTGATGGAAAACCAGCTCAATTCGTATAGTCTGATAGTCGTGCAGTATTATTTGTAATTCAGTCGTATCGTGATCGTTTCGTTTCGTTCTCTTCAATATGGAAATTCAAATAATTATGTCCGAAAAAGGCAAGGAGTTGGTTCTCTTAAATAATTTTAAATACTGTTTTGTTAGAAAACGTAGTAAAGATGGGTATATTAAATGGATCTGTACAAACAAAAATTGCACTGCAAATATTCTAACAACTGCAGATAAGAAGTCTCTGCATCAGTCATCTGGTGAACATAAACATTTAGTTAATAGTCAACAAAAAATTGAACGACAAATATTGAGGGAGAATTGTAAGAGAAAAGCCGACGATAATATTTCTACCAGGCCATTAAAAATTATACGAAATGAATTAATTAAAAATAAGCCGACTGACATAATATATAGTGATATACAATCTGTACGTAAAGCGATGTACGATAAGCGACGTAAAATGTATCCTGTTTTTCCCATATCATTAAACGAAGCAATTTCTCAACTAAAACTGGTGGAAAATAATTGTTGTTTATTTAACGGAGATCAATTTGTTTTTGTTCCGGAAAATGACGAATTTGTTTGTATAACTACAAAAGAAAATTTAAAATTTATGACAACACAAAATTAGTTTTTTGGAGATGGTACATTTGATTTCGCACCAAAATTTTTTTTACAACTTTATACCATACATTCTTACACAAATGGTTTTTATGTGCCTATTGTATATTTTTTTCTTGCAAATAAAACAAAAGAAACTTATTTGAATATGTGGAAATATCTTTTGGAACTATGTCAACGATTTTTTAATTCAACTTTCGATGTTCAAAAACTGCATTTGGATTTTGAATCTGGAGCTCATGAAGCTGCAAAAGAAATATTTCCGAACGTGATGATTGTAACATGCCGTTTTCATTTAGGCCAAGCTTGGTGGAGAAAGGTAATATTTAAAATCTAATCTTATTTATAAATTAATACTCTTTACGACTTTGAAACATTTTTTTTAATAAAATAAAATATCTACAGATTAATGGAGATTCAAATTTGAGAAACGCATACAAAGATAACAACAATGAATTAGGTCAATGGCTAAAATTATTTTTTGGCTTACCGTTTTTACCCAGTGACGAAATTGAAGATGCATTTTTAGCATTAATAGCCGAATGCCCCAGCCTAGAAGAAGGTCATGTTTTTACAGACTATTTAGTATCAACATATATTGCACCTGATTCATTATTTCCCCCATATCTTTGGGCACAAGAACCCTCAGTAAATCCAAGGTATGATTTTAAAAAAATTTAAATTAAATTCTTGTTCCTTCCTACTTTAATTTTACCAGTTAATACAATATCTCTAAGTTTTTTTAATTATTTTTTAGAACTACTAATGGGCCAGAGAGCTTTCACAGGACGTACAATGGTCAGTTTTATAGCCCCCATCCTCCAACACACGTAGTTATATCAGTTTTAAAAGAAACACAAGCTCAAACTTTGACAATAATTAATTCTATTAAAAACAATGTACATAAGCCTATGGCCAAAAAAGATAAACTTTTAATTGAATCAACTTTACAAAATTATAATGATTATAAAGTACACAAAGATCTAATTTTATATTTAAGAAAAACTGGAAATTCCTACCAGGGAAAAAATTTAAAAAAAAGTAAAAATGTAGAAAATTTTTTTTAAAAACTATTATTTTGAGTGTATTATTATGTATAATATTATTTTTTCATTCAGAACTCAGATCTATGTATGTATGTATTATTTTATTTATTTTTAAGTTTCTAACGTACAATGAACACGTACATTTTGTAACAGTATTATTAATATTTATACAACGAAAACAGTTTTAATTAATCAACATTTTAAACATTACTTATTATTTTGTATAATTTTATTTTAGTTTGTAACGAAGAGTTGTTGTCTTAATTGTATTATTAATACCAATAGTTTATATTAAAAAAAAAAAAAATGTTTTAATTGAACTCCCGAACAAAACATATTCAGAAATATAAACTTGGCAACGTAGTCTATAAAAACGTTCGCAATCGTTCGTTTTTCGGCTAAAAAAACAAATTCTCTGATAAGCGTCATTCGTTCGCAATCGTGTTATAAAAATGGTAAAACGTTCGCAATCGTGTTGTACCCCAATAATAATAGTCAGTAATAATAATTATATTTTTCCAAATTTAATACAACAAACATATATTTAAATTTTAAGGAAATACAAAGTATAAAAATACTACCTATGATTTATGAATCATTTGATTTCAACACAACAAGCCGATCAGTAAGGTTGTCTGTAAGTTTTGTGTTCTTTTTAATTTTTTTTTACAAAATGGGTTAAGATTGGAGTTATGGGAGAAAAGCTAGACGTAAGTTAAGTGCACCTAAAATAAAAAAACATCGATTGCAAAATTTACAGAATAAAAAAAGTGATATAGGTACATAATAATTTCTAAAATTGGTAAAATAATGTGGTAAATATTTTGGAAATGAAATTTTTTTTTTACTTTTTTCTTTGGTTACATGGTTTTAGAATTAATTGATTTAGTATATGAACGTGAGTTTCCTTTTCCTATCGGGGATGGTTTGTAATAGTACTTTTTTTAATGGTTTTATTTGTATAAAAAAGTCAAGTAATGTAATAGTTAATAACTATGAAATAACAAAGTGATTCTCTTGTAGTCTTGTGTAGTATAATGTAATTGTACATTTTTGCGAATTGCAGCGAAAGCCGAGTAGTGAGTAGGTAATATAATAGTAAAAAATAACGCGCGCAATTAATCATAATATATTGTCATTTTTATAGCATTTTAATTATACGTAGTTTTGGGAATTCGTAATACTGTCCACCGATAGTCCGAGGCACGCGATAATGGATTACCCACACTAATGTTCATTTACTACTCACACATAGACATAGCCCAAATGTTCAAGTTATGTGAATTGCCTAAATATTACTCCTTAAAACATGATACGCTGGAGCCCCCTTAATCAATGGTTACACTGTTAGGTACTGTATGAACTACTTATGAGAAATCTTGTTTTACATTTTCAACGATTAGTTATCAGTGCCGTATTTACGGGGAGGATCAAGGGACCCCTCTCCCTCCCCAATAGGCTGTATATAATATGTAAAGTATGCTAGTATGCATAATATAAGAAATAATAATACTATGTTTTTACTTGCCAACCAAAATTGTTTAGTTTTGATTTGTTATGACATTATTCAATAGTAAATTTTACTCTGTTAAAATGTGATTATATTCGCGGATGAAAATTATTCAAAAAATCAAACTATACTGCCGGCTGATAAGCCATTATTTATGAGTAAAGAAAAATCAATACCTACCTAAAGGTAAGCAAATATTGCAATTTTTTTTATGTATATAATATATCTATATTTTTGAATTTATAGTAGGTAGGTAGGAAATAAGTAAAAGTACAGGTTTTAACTTACTGAAATGAGTTTTAAATTAACAGCTAATCAGAAACTACTGGACTTGTTATAATCAAGGTTATATCAATAACAGATTTCTTGAGACTCTATGGTTGTTTTAAGCTTCTTTTCAACCCCTGTAGGTTGTTATTGGTTGGGACACACATGAATTTAGTTTTGGGTCAAGAAAATTGAATCATTTTTTGTTTAGGTATATTTTATATAGGGACATAGGGTTGCCATTTCGGGTTCCCTATACAAACTATTTTTAAATAATGTTTAATTTATTATTGTTATTCAAAAAATGCTAAGTGCTATATCCAAAGATTGAGTCATCAAAATGTGAGATATATCATCTTATTTTATCGTTGGTTTATATTATCTACTTTATGCTCTATCATAATTCATAAGCTTATAATTTATAATTATAATATTATAAATATCTGTTGCAAGATTGTCAAGATTTTTCAAATAAAACTTGTAATTTTAAATTTGAAGACACTTTAGTAGGAAATAATAAATTGTAAGTTGGCAAATAACCCACCCCATGCATACGGACAATGATTAAAATGATTATCGAAAAATGACGTACAATATACTGATTTCTTATCAAATTTTGATTATGAAAAATGTAAAAGTACACCTACCTATATACATATACATATACTTTAATACTTATACTTAAGGCCCCTGCAAAAGTGTCATATTTAAGGAGTTGTGTTTAGGCAATTATATCATTCCTTGCAGTTACTGCTCGTGTGTGTATCTAGTAAATTATAATTTGTGTGTTCACTGGTAGCCGAGGTACCACACTACTAGGTACCGAATAGATTATAATTTATAAATGGTACTACATTTAACATTATATTATCTACATATGAAAATATTATGAAAATTAGTCATTCAATTGAAATATTCAAAATCAATTTATGGACATGAATAAGATAATAGTATACGCCTGACAAAAATTAAGGTACTTCCAAAGGTCCGATTTAAAAAATGTAAAAATGTTCGATTTCATATTAGGTATACAAGATAACTTTGTATCGGTAGACATTATTTATTATTTATTATATTTTAATCACAAGACACAAATCGAATCACAAAATAACTAGGTAAGTATTTCTAATTGGCTTTTACAAGAACTATAACTTTTAGCATGCAATGAGTTCTACTTCTACATATATAATATATACCTATATAATTAATATAATATAATCAATATAATATAATCTGACATTCTGACAATTAGTTTAATAACAGTATTTTAATTTAAACAGTTAATTATTATATTCTCAGCTATAAGTTATAACAATCACAGAATAGTAACTTATACAATACCTATTTAACTTCAGATGTTCAGATGTTTTCTTAATATATATTTTTGCTAAATTAATACAATTTACAGTAGGTACCTATAATTATTTCAAATATTTTTACATACACAGGAATATTTATCAAAAGTGTAACGTACACGTCTTAATAATATAGGTACCTCTAACATAAATAATTTAATAATGCGTAATAATGATACAAATTATTATTTTCATTTTACTTCGAAATTTTTGTAAGTAACTAAATGTATTTTATACATGTTATACATTTTATACAGTTTATACAATTTATACATATTATACATTTTACTTCGAAATTATTTCATACATTTTATACATATATTATACATTTTATACAGTTTATACAATTTATACATTGTATACAGTTTATAGAGATTATACAATCAGGCCCGGCGTTAGGGGGGGGGGGGGTGCAATACCCCCCCACCAACGAATAACCCATTTATATAGTCGGCATATATAGCCATACGCTAAATAAAATTTAATGGTCGGCAAAAATTTGAACTATAGAACTAGATTGCGCTAGTTGGTATTAGAAAAACATTTTTCGTGGACGGCTACGGCTACAATTCCCGAATCTAAGGGCAATGAATGTATTTATAGCCGTAGTCGGAATATACGTCGTTATCTTAGTCTTAGATATTTGATTTGATTTAATGATTATTGTTGTGATCGACGATCGTACTTCACTGCTACAATATATTATAACTGATAGTAAATAATAATACACGAAATCAAGCACTAGGACTTGTAAAAAAACTTCTTTCATTTGACTTCGTTGTTTCCTTATTGTTCATGAAAAATCTAATGTACAAGACCAAAATATTAACGGAAAAACTTGAAGCTACTGAATTGAACATACTTGATGCTTTAATGTTGATTGATTATTCATTAAGTAGCTTAAATGAAATGAACAGCGATGATACAGCAATGAACAACCTAGTAAGCAGTGCAATAAAATTTTCTGAACAGTTAGGTATTGATCCAGTGTCAGATTTTAATCGACATCATCGGAAAAGACTTTTGTCAAAAAGAATTGACCAAAATCCAAACACACAGTGTTCGATTGATTTACCTACTTTTTATCGAGTAGAATTTAAAAAAGTTCTAAATACTTTGATTGTTTTATTGAATGAACATCTAAAAAAATCTTTGGTGACATTTGAACCAATGATTACTTTGTTTAAAATGCCATGGAAACAAATTTGTTCAACAGAAAATGTAAAAAAAGTAATCGAACTATTTCCACCGGGATGCAAAGATTTTAAAATGAATGACTATGATGGAGTGATTGCCGAATTGAAAGTTTTAGATCACCAGTGTAACGTGAAAAAATTGGATAGCTTGACAAAAATATTTGAATTATCTGAAGATTGTAAAACTTGTTTGCCAACTGCAAACAAGCTATGCAGGCTAGTACTTACAGCTCCCGTAAGTACTGCTTCAAACGAACGCGCTTTCAGTAAACTGAAAATCGTCAAAAACTATTTACGATCGACTATGGGGGCAGATCGTCTCCAACATTTAATGTTACTTTATAGTAACAAAGATATTTTGGATTGTATAGACTTAAAAAGTTCAGTGAAATCATGGTCACTATTAAAGGAAAGAAGGATTAAAATTTAATTTATTCAATTACCTATTCATAATGTTGAAGTTGTTGTATTTTTATATAATATGATATTATAATTTGTATTCTATTGTTTAACTTAGTTAATATCCAATAAATTATTAAGACACCAATTATTGACTCTCTTTTACACACGCGTTATATTGTAAATTTTGCGTTTAGTATGTATTTCACTCTAGTATCTATTATTTTTAAAATTAGAGTAAATTGATCAATAATTTAATTTAATAAAATAATAAAATGGATTATTTTGAACGCAAAAATTTGCCATGTTATTTGCGTGTAAGACAGTCGACCAAGACAACACTTGTGGTTCATATTTATGAATTTAGTCGGCAAATTCGTATATTTATACCCCCCCATCAATATTTGCTAGCGCCGGCCCTGTATACAATTTATACATATCATACATATCATACATTTTATACATAGGTATTATACATTTTATAAAGTTTATACAATTTATACATATCATATACATCTTCGACAGAGCGTCGAGATAATAATTAAAAAAATTATTGTTAGATATAGATTTTACTTATACCGCGGCATATTCTATAGAGCAGCGTCTGCAATGGCACAACAGTAATATTATTCCTCGGGACTAGATGTGCAGCATCAGAAAAAATTCTTAGTACGCTTCCAAAACGATCGGATCTTACGACTTTGACCGTGGGTAGAACACGATTCCGTACGGTCCTTATCAGCGTACGGAATCGTGAACATTTTAAGGCACACGATTCCGTACGTTTTGTACCCAAGATTTTAGTGCAATGTTGCCAGATTTCCTTAAGGTTAATCCAAACGCAGTATGGTTAACCAGGATTACTTGGCGAACTGACCAATGCCGACGAAAAACGGTACTGTCAGTTTACCATAATCGAACTCTATATATAAAAACCACACAAAACAGCAATTGGGCTCAAGAGCTGACAGAAAATCCTCGGTAATACTATAATAACTATATACAATGTGTAAAACTATTAATATAATATCTATATTGTTTTCATATTTTTTTTTCTTTAGTACAACAAATGAATCGGAGAGTTTCCATAGAACATATTATAATGCACAGTTTCATAGTCCACACCCTTCTATTAATTTGGTTATTTCAGTTCTGAAGGAAACACAAAAATAAAATCAGCATCCAAAGGACGTTTCAATAAAATGGCCTTAGCCGACAAACAACGTTTATACCGCACTATTAACGAATATAAAGAATATTTAATTCACAAAAATACAATCAAATATTTGTAACAAGTACCAAGGTATCAAATTAAAATTTTACATATTTTTTTATTTGACAAATTTTCATCAAGTTTTTTATTGACAGTCAAATAAATAACAAATTGAAAATAATTATAATAGATGGCAACATTTCAGATAAAATCGTATGGAATCGTGTTGTTTTTGGGGTTAATTTGACAATCCATTGTTTGGTCAAATTCGTACGGAATCGTGTTCTCAAAAAGGTAAAACGTTCGTAACCGTGCTTTACGTTTGACCGCCACCGTGTTCGTGGTCACCTGCACCTGGTTCGTTATTGTCACATATGTGTCCTGCAGTTTCTACACATAGTTGACCGAAATCGCTTCATAATTCCATAGTTCGGTCAGCAGGGTTTTCAACTCCGTCATCTATGCAGGGCTACTAGTGGCGGACGGCGGTACACGGTTGGCCATTTCGGGCGTCGTCGACATGATGTTTGGCACGGAAAAATAGAGATTTTTCAGTCGGCTTTCGGCGTAACAGCTGGCACGGCTCTTTGCCAAGTACAAATCCATGTCGTTTAACGAAACGGTAGAAGAAACGATACGGTTCCTAGGTTTGACCGCTGCGTTCGCGATCACCACCTGCTGCAGGTCCTTTATCGCAGCGTCCGCGGTACTCTGCAGATCCACACTGCAAGTGTCCGGCGCAGCCACATCGAGTTCTGCAGGTAGGGATTTCGACTTGGTTGGCGCTAGAATTTTCTTTTCGTCAGTTTCAGCCGGTGTCAAAAGCATTATATTCGGCATAGACGCAGAGTACTGCCTGCAGACCAATGGACTCGCCGCCGCACGTTCTTTGTTCGAACTCATGAGAGTTGTCGAAGACAAATGAAATTCTGAACAGTAGGTACGAAAGTTATGTTATATTATAACTGATTCGCGTTACACAGAAAATAACTCGGGATTTAAAGACAAATAAACTATTTATATATATTTCCTTGGATACGAGATTTTATACGCTTACTATATAGGTCGTATGTCTGGAATACATTTCAATTCAAATTGAGCCAGTTAATTAAATACGATAATATACAGAGAGATTTACCAGCATGCTCACCCTCGTTTTTTCCTTTAATAATAAATGTATTCAAGTTATAATTTTAAATATATTTAAATAGACCATCATGTCACTTTAAATTGTATAGATTTCTATACCGCATTCAAGAAGTGTCCCGTGGCTATACACATTTATTTTTTTCAAATGAGACCAATATTTTTTACTGTTAATTGTTAGGCATATGATTTTTTTTTATACCTATCACTTTGACTATCATTAAACTTAACATTACAATAATTAATATTAATCACCTGCACATGTTATAGCTTAGTTTGCGTACAGGTCTTTCTTTAGAGTGAAATTATATTCTCCTGAATTTCAAAACTATATACCATCACACATATTGTTATAATAATAATGTTACGATTGCCCTGTGTAATGTTTAATATGGTCGATTATACAATAATACGATATTGTGTTTCCCTCAATAAAATAAAATATTAACAATAATGATTTATATTTTCCTTGATGTGCGTGCGTGTGTGTGAGAAGAATTCAAAATAATATTTAATTGCGTATGACTGGCATTTTTTTGTTTTTAGTCTGGTTTGGCGATTTCCCGTAATTCTGCAAAAAAATTTTCGGACTCTGTACGGCCGTGGAATTGTATATTATTATTATATTATTATTATTATTATATTATTATTATAGGTACTATTGCACACGCGTGGTCGGTTAGTAGTAATTTATCTATTTATTTTAATACAGCGAAATCTCTCTCTAAATAGCTGACAAAATGTCGGTAACCGAGAGTGTCTGGTATTTAGAGGTTTCACTGTATATATATATATACTCTAAAAAATATTTGTCTAACATTGAATCAAACGATCGACTTGTTGAATATTAAACATTATATAATAGACAATATTGAATATACATCTGCAAACATAGTATTTAATAGGTAGTATATTGTAGTGACATTTTAGAAAATCAAAATTCACTTGACTATTGCACAGATGCGAATCATGAAGTATTTTTCGTGAAACTTTCAAAACGAATCATTTAAAAACAATCAAAACTTTTTGGTTTACCACAGAGTTTAATAACGATTCGTTTTAAAATGTACGTTTTTAAAATAGTCAATGTAATAATGTGTAAAGAAACGGACAGAGGTTGAGATGTGGATAATTGTTCCTGTTTAATTCTATCGATATCTGCTATTATAATGCTGACCTAGAAGCGACGAATCGTCGTGATTTGTCCCATAGCTAAACGTGCAACTTGTTGACAAAAACAACAAAATCGACACGTCTTCGGCTTGGCCAACAAAACAAGATCATTATAGATGAAAACCATCATCCATACCGTATTCTCTATTTTACATTTTTACAGTTTATACATTTTAATACGTACCTACGTACCTACATACCTAACCAAATAATTTGGCTGAGTGTCAGAATTTAGCGTACCTATAATATGACCTTTATATACCTACCTACTACCAAACATGCTACTCAACAAATCTTTAGAGTATTTCCTTTTGAGACAGTGTGTCTTACATATGTATCTCGGTGTTGAGAATTTTCCATCGATTATAGCTTCAATTATTTATTTAAAAAAAAAAAAAAAAGAACTAATATAATATTTTAAATATAGTATAATAGTTGTATTCAAAAATACTATAAAACTATATATTATTTACCTGACCATATCAGTGTAGTATAATTGTTGTTGTTTTACTACATAGCAACGTAGGTAGTATTATAAATTACTATAATATAATCATCCAACAAATAGTAATAATAATATTGTAACGTGATATCAATTTTAGAACAAATGTAAATGATTCAATATAATTACTTTAAATATCAAATTTAATATATATTATAATCACAAAAATAGTGTTTGAAAAACTGTTAACACAGTGTACATTATTTTACATAATATTTATTAAGTTACTGAAAGTATAAGACGTTTAAGTAAATTAAGTACCTACTACCTACGTCCTTTTCAAGCTGTACATCAATAATTAGGGATGCGCACTTGGCAGGAACGATGCAGCTTTTTAAAAACTAGTGTTGAAACGCATTATATAAGCCTTTGCAGCTCGTTTAAAACAATTAAAACTATAATAATATTCTCACTTTATCTACACATTCGTTCCTCCAAATCAAAGACAGCTATGTCAACATGATTTTTAATTCCATGACCATTATGGCATTATACACCATTTTAACAATATGACGTGCAACTCGAAAACGCGTTTTTATATTTTAAGAATTCTTTAAAGTTCTACGACAAAGATACAAACTTATAAATTTGTGCATTTCGTAGGAATAAAGATGTACTGAAAAAAAAAACAATTATTATTTGATACAAAAGCAGCGAAAACAAACGAAAAAATATGCAAAATAAATTACGAACATTGCATACAGTAAACAACAGGTAGGTGGTATATTTATTACAGACTACTTACTACGGATGTTTTCATTATCATTAATATTCTATATTATTATTTAATTAAGGATATATTTTATGTATTTGACATCATTAAATAGTTTTAATATGGCCTTTGAAATAATACACAGTAAATTCAATACGACTATGCGGGTTTATTATAGCAGTTTATAAAATGTTCACTTTATCATTTTACTGTAATTGCTTAAGTAGTAAAGTCAAACGATACTCACTGATTGAAAAACAAAAAAACTCGGTAATTCCAATCATCAACCTCACGCATTATGTTTTATTAAAAACAAATTTAAAAACGTTAATATGAAACTGCAGAAACTGTATAATCTGTTGGCCGACTAATAATGTATAGCAAATTATTGTTTGTTCTACCTACGATAGTTGAATGATTACTAAAATATATATTAAAGTACCTAAACAAATTTCAAGGAAGAAAATATTTCGAAATAACGTATGAATTGAATTAATTAATAGATCACCGTATAATGAGTAATGACTAATGACAATGTTCCTAAGCTAACCATTATTAGTCATTAAATATTAAGCAACCTGTAGCTGCAGACTGCGTGTTTCGTTCATTATTTTTATTTAAGTTCATAAATACTTAACGAGCGAAATATGCTCTTCTAGTTATTTATCTGTTTAATATGTATTTCATATGAATTGATTTCCATATTTAGATAGTTAAGTAAAAAAAAAAATAAATATATTATTATATATTTTTCTTTTAACTATTAAACTCTCTGCAATACTATGTGTCTTATCTAAACTTAAACAATATTAAAAATTATATAATAATATAAGTAATGCGAAAAGAGTATTTACTAATTTTGTCATTGTTTTTTTTTCGTTACCAGTATGAAGTCCTCAAGATTTTTGAACGAGTTTCAGACGGCTCAGGTGAAACAATCATGGCCGATGATTGTTTCAAATGGTTTTTGGACTTCATTTTATACCAAGTATATAAAAGTGGTACTTTCTAATTGTATTTTAAGTACACACACATAGTTATGGATTTATATAACATTTACGTTTTTTTCCGAAGTCTGTTCAAGAGAAGTCCATCGTATCAATTTATTACAAATCGATCGTTTCGCTCATGTTCCGTTTGAAGAGTTCGAGTCGAACGTTCACTTTTTGGCACACTCTTTCAGGACTGGGATTTGCATTTAACGCAGTTTGAACCTGAGAAAGCTTTACCAAACTCTGTATTTATTTTCGACGATATTATTAATGAAAACCAAAAAATTGCAAGAACTTACTTCTCCAGAGGTCGTCATAATTCAGTTGATGTATTCTATCTGGCTCAGAGTTATTCAAAAGTCCCAAAACAACTTTTGTGTGCGGTAATGCTAATTTTATTGTATTATTCAAACAAGATGAGACTAATTTAAATCATGTATACAATGAACTTTGCTTTGGTGATATGTCATACTCAGAGTTTAAAGACTTTTGCACTTCATGTTGGCGTCTGGGGATATTTGAGTTTATCGTGATAAACAAAGACTGTGGACGTGCCAACGGTCGATATCGTCATGGATTTGACACATTCGTCGTTATATAAAGTGTTGTCATTGTGGAAATGATTCATTCGAAGTCATGGCTGCTAGTGGTGAAGTACTCGGAGAACTGATTAAAGCAAAGAAAATATTAAACGCAAGTATACCGCATTAAAACAAGGAAAAGCAGATATTTATTCACTAGTATCAGAAACGTTAAGGCCGATTATCGAACCATTGAAACAAAATATTAATAAAACAACATTTCAAGCTCCGCCCACACAGCAAGACATTGATATTCAAGATTCTCAATATTTTAATGACACAGGCGATTCGGTAGCTTATACCGACTGGTATAAATCTTACGATACAGACAAAACGTATGGACCTAAAGTACAAACAAATGGAAGAGTAGTTTTAGGTAAAAAAGAAATTAATCTTGTCGACAAAAAGTTGATTATTGAAGATACTTTATACCCGCTGACACAAGGACTTGGTAATTTAGTATTTTCGAAATCTCCAAAATTATACACCAAAAATGATTTAAAAGCATACAAGTCTATATTAATTCAAACATCAGCTCATCCAAAAGCAGACGGGATAAAAATTAAATCGAATCAGAATCGGCTATATCATAATACTCGAATTAATTTTTCATTTTAAGAAGTACGTTTAAGTTAATTTATTTTGTTTTAATTTAATTATATTTCACTATTCCAGTATATTTTGAATCTAACTTATATGGAAATACTGTATATTTCATAAAGTATAAACACTATAGTCTTTAATTCAGTTTTGGTTGGAAAAAAACTAAGTACTCTAGCGTTGTATAAACAAATTTA